ATGTCTACCCTGAGGGGCCCTGCACACATTCATCTTACTGTCCCACCACAAAGAGAGAAACAGATCTCTCTTCTACTTTATCTGATCCCTGACCCCACAATCTATTTCTTAAGAGATAAGAGAAACTAGGCCAGCCAGAGGAAAGAGAATAACCCATCATAAAGTGAATCACAGACTTTATAGAGATGCTTTGTTTGGATAGAGTTTTGTATGTGTGTAGTGTTTTGAAGGGATAGTTAATCCAAAAATGAAAAGCTGTCATTAATTACTCACCCTCATGTCTTTCCAAACCCGTAAGACCTTCATTCATCTTCAAACACAAATGAAGATATTTTTGATGAAATCCGAGAGCTTTCTGACCCTGCATAGACAGCAAGGGTCCTACCACAGTCAAGGCACAGAAAGGTACCATGAACATCGACAAAATAGTCCATGTGACATCAGTGGTTCAACCCTAATTTTACGAAGCTATGAGAATACATTTTGTGTGCAAAAAAACCCCTAAAATAACGACTTTATTCAACAATTATTCTCAATTATCGTCACCCTAGCACCATTTTGGAGAATACAAAGAAGCATGTGCGTGCTTTCCTCTGAACGTAAACAAGGAGCAGTGCATGCGTGTTCTGTGTCAGCAGCACCACACACACATTGTTTACGTGCAGATCAAAGCATGCGCATGCATGGTAATAGTCAAAGCTATGACTGTTAATTGAGTTATTTTTTTATTTAAGTTGGACTGTACAATTACAAAATTTAAAGCAAACAGAATGGTCTGACTAGCTTTGTTAAATTATAGGCCTACTAAAAATTCAAATTCACTCTCTGACTGTAGGTGGCAGCACTACAAAGCAGCGCTGCACTTATAAACACTACTTTAATATGCATTATACAGAGGCCAGATGAAAAGTAAATGCTCTTCTCCTCTTTGCGTCTGTCTTGTTCTGTCTCTGGCCTCTGTTAACATCCTGTTTACAACTGCCTTTGACACCCTATATGCCTGGTGTGAATACAATCATATGACCTGAATCACTTGCCCGTTACTTCTTTAAAATAAAATAACATCAGATGTTCGCAAAGAAAAACACGTGCCGAAGACCTGCTTAAACAAATGAGCAGTGCTGAGGGTGTTCGTGACCAGAACTGGCTTAGAGCTTCATATTCTTTAAATAATATAAAATGTGACTGTTTAAACCACGTCTTCAGAAAGAGTTTGCCTTCTGTTTTCTTTTTTTCTGTAAGTAGCTAGAACATCCATGAGAACATGCACCACACAGAAAAGCCTCCTCAGCCGAGACCCAAAACGAGGACCTTCTGGCTGTGAGGCCACAATGCAGCTCTTTGTTGAAGCACTGCTATATCAGCTCTAAAATGAATGTCAGTAATGTTAATGATTTAATATGAAATGTTCCGAAACCTTTACAAGCTTTTGTTCTTCAGGTGTGTTTGGTGTTGATGAAGTGAAGTCAGTGTCTGTGATGGAGGGAGATTCTGTCACTCTAAACACTGATGGTACTGATATACAGAAAGAAGATCAGATAATGTGGAGATTTGGACACATTCTCATCGCTCATATCAACAGAAAAAACAATAAGAGCATGGTTTATGATGATAAAGCCGGTGAGAGATTCGGAGGCAGACTGAAGCTGGACAATGAGACTGTATCTCTGAGCATCACAAACACCAGAACCACAGACTCAGGAGTTTATAACATAACCAGCAAAAAATCAGAGACACCGCTCAACATCTTCAATCTTACTGTCTATGGTGAGTAGAGGATTATTTACCCTGCTGACTCCATTTCATCTGCGAGTGTTGCTTCAATGATTAATTTTGGCTGTGGACTTTAAGAAAAATATGCATCTTCAAAATTTTCAACTTGAAATAATATTGCTGATAGTGTAATACTGTGTGGGAGGTGTAACTGGAGCAGTTTATTCACACTTACTACAGAGCTTCACTAAACCACTACAATACAGACCAACAGCACTCAGCTCTCCAGCTCTTCTGACACTTTCAGCTGTCAAAAACTTATTAGAACATTTCTGTTGAGTTTTGTTTTAAATGTCGACTTTTCTGAATTCAGGTCTGTTGTTATTTGAAGAAAATGGAAAATGTTGACACTTTTATTTTCATCTGTTTGTGCTCATGGAGTCTGGCTGGTAAGCATTTTTTGCAACATAATTCTGATATTTATTATTTCCAACATTTATTTTCATGTTTTATCAGACTAATACACTAAAACATCTTTGTGTTTGTGATGTCCATTTTAACACTTTTCTCTTCCACTCACATCAAAGGGTTTATTTATTGCACATTATTGAATTATACATTGAAATTATACATTGAGCGCAGAGTCAGTAATTGTATTGCAGTGAGATATTTTCAAATAGTTTCAAAGAGTAAATATTTGTTCTTCAGGTGTGTTTGGTGTTGATGAAGTGAAGTCAGTGTCAGTGATGGAGGGAGATTCTGCCACTCTGAACATCAATGATACTGATATACAGAAAGAAGATCAGATAATGTGGAGATTTGGACACATTCTCATCGCTCATATCAACAGAAAAAACAATAAGAGCATGGTTTATGATGATAAAGCCGGTGAGAGATTCAGAGGCAGACTGAAGCTGGACAATGAGACTGTATCTCTGAGCATCACAAACACCAGAACCACAGACTCAGGAGTTTATAACATAACCAGCAAAAAATCAGAGACACCGCTCAACATCTTCAATCTTACTGTCTATGGTGAGTAGAGGATTATTTACCCTGCTGACTCCATTTCATCTGCGAGTGTTGCTTCAATGATTAATTTTGGCTGTGGACTTTAAGAAAAATATGCATCTTCAAAATTTTCAACTTGAAATAATATTGCTGATAGTGTAATACATCAAAGCACTATGTGCATAATTTGACAATAACAGCTCGACTGGAAATGAAGCATAATGAAAATATTCTGTGATATTTACATTAAAACTTCCATATTAATCTTCTAGTTATTTTTCATTTTTTATGATCATGCAGTAAAAAATTAAAATATTTTATATAAAATTATATCTAAAATTTGAATGATATAGAAAAATATAATTTAAGTACAGAAATAATTTTCACAAAATAGATTTTTGAAAACTAGTTTATATAATCTTATAGTCTTAGACATGTTTATTAATACTTTTCTGATGGATTTTCATATTAGAAAACTGAAAGTCTCAGTCTGGGACAAGAGTAAAACTATAAATCAATACATAAAACTAATTTGGTTTCAACCCTGTCACACATCAACACACATAAATAAGTTTCTTTTAATTTTAGAAATTAGTTTTATTAAAATTATGTAATAAATTATGCAATTTTTATGTAAAGTCCATCAACTAATTCAACAGTAATTCAATAGTAAAACTTCAATTCCATTTTAAATATGAATTTGTTTGAGAGAGGGGTTGCCAACGTCATGTGAGTGATGAACACAACTGTCTGCCACAATGAACTTCTCTAATATCTCTTTTAATATCTCTCTAATAGCTCATTTGCCTGTTCCTGTCATCAGCAGAGACTGTGCTTCATCATCATCATCATCATCACCACAGCAGAATTGTTCATCATCATCAGGATCATCGGTGTCCAAATGTGTGTTTCTGTGTTCAGTGGTGAATGTGAGTCATGTGACTGTCTCCTGGTACAAAGGAAACAGTTTATTGTCCAGCATCAGTGTGTCTGATCTCAACAGATGTCTTTCTTTACATCTGGAGTGTCTGGATGATTCCTACAGCTGTGTGGTGAACAATCCCATCAGCAACCAGACTCAACATCTCAACACTGAACTCTGTCAGCCATGTTCAGGTATGTCTGTGGCGGTCCGTCTATATCAGTGTTTTCCATTAATAGACTGTGGTGGCCTGCCGTAATCTGTCCATATTCAACTGACAAATACTTTTAAACATTTCATAATGACATATGTTATGTTTTATGACATTGGTTTGGCAAAGCATCTGTCAATTAAACTAAAAGTGAAATAGTGATATGGATTAGAGCAATTTAATTAAATAAGTATTTAGTCTCTCACGCTGGGAGTGTCAAAGCGAAGGGCACACTGTGCACACGAGCAGCTCAGTATCTGTGTTCTTGTCATTGAAAATGGTTTGCTCTCAAAGTGCATCAATCCAGTGCATTTAACCCGTTTAATCCCAAATTTTTCCCAGACATGAAAATATCCATATGTTGTGTCATTAGTAACCCTTTGAAATAATCAATATTTATTATTATATATTTATTATAATAATCAATATTATTTTTTTTAATTTGTTGGAAGTGTGTTTTATGGTCGGTCACAATTGTGACCGGTGGGATAAGGTGAATTCTGACTTTTAAATAATCTATTATTTTTGTCATTTGTTTTTTAAAGTGTGTTTAAAATTGTGTTTAATGGTCGGTCACAATTGTGACCGGTGGGATAATGTGTGTACTGAATTAACATATTTCTGCAGTCATAAAAATTGTTATATATCTTAGCCCAGCTATTTTAAACTGTTTGATCACATTCTAGGGTTACTATTATGCATAAAAAAAACGTATGCAACATTGATAGGAACACTGAGATAAAAGACAAAAAAAAAAATGCAACCATCAATGCATTTCAAAATTTTTACTTTTTTGTAAAATATAACATCAAATTTTTATATTAGTGCTACCAGTATTACAACATCAATATTGTACATTTTTGGTAACATTTAATTTTTTTATTTAGTGCAATATTTTGTCATTGCAAACTTTTAGTGTAATTTTCACTAACAACTGCAATTGGATTTACTGTATACCTAAGTTCACTGTTATCCCACCGGTCACTATTGTGACCATCAACATGTTTACTCATTCTATGACCACACTCAACAAAACTAAATATATGTGAATGCATATATTAATACTAGACACCTTAAAAATAATGTGTACCAAAAATCTTTTTCATATATCTTTATGTTAACATACTTTACTAGCCTTTTATTTTGGAGCTTTGATGCAGTTATCATCTTCTCAAGGTGCAAACAGGAAATAAACTGCTCTGGTCATGTGACAATTTGCACTAATCATGTGAAACTGCGCATATTTAATTGAGACCCTTTTTTTTTCCATATTTGCAGGAAGTGCTCTAAAACATCAGTCAGTAAGGTTTTTAGAGCTTCATAAATGAAAACCTTTTTTTTTTTACGGTCACTATTGTGAAAGGTGGAATTAAATGGGTTAACTCCAAAATGTACAAACATTTCTTTCAGGGTTCTGTATATCTATTTTAATCGTGTTCATTTTTTCTCTCAGAAGTCTGTATCCTCTGCTGTGGTGTTACTGAAGCTGTGATCCGATTGGCTCTCTCTGCTCTGGTGGGTGTGGCTGCTGTTGCTATGTTGGTTTATGACATCAGATCCAGAAGCCATCAACAGAAGAGAGAGCAAACATCAACATCACACACTGACTAATCAGATATTCAGGAAAGTGGAGATGTTCTTGAACAAGTGGAGACATTACATATTAAAAACTACATTAAGTAACTAGTATTTTTTTTCTCTTCAATTGTATTTGTAGCACTTTTCAAAATGCAAATCTTTCTAAAGCAGCTTTACAAAGAGTAGTGCCTTACAAAAGCACTCCGATTAATCAAACAGTCAATAAATATATTTGTATGATAGTATTTCTTGTTTGTTTTTTGTAAAATAAGTTGCCAGATCAAAGACTACTGCTCAGTGAGAAAGTGATCTCTACACCTGTAGTTATCTGAATAAAAGCTTTATTGCATCTGTGAAATAAGACCCTGTGAGGGAAATAAGACACAGCTGCCAATGTTTGACCTATTTTATGACTTATTAGTTTATTCTAATGTTCTAGTGATATTGCTTTCCACATTTTATCATACAGAATAATGTGATGCTATTATTTAAACATTTGTTGTAAGCCTTGGTTAAGATTCAGTTCACTTCAATTGATTTGGGTGCTTATATTTGTTAGAATATTGAGTTGTAAGTTAGTGGACATTTCTTATTGCTTTTTTGAGTCAAATGAAATATGAAATAAATTATGAAATATAAACTAAATCATAGTAAAGGGATAGTTAATCCAAAAATGAAAATCTGTCATTAATTACTCACCCTCATGTCTTTCCAAACCCGTAAGATCTTCAAACACAAATGAAGATATTTTTGATGAAATCCGAGAGCTTTCTGACCCTGCATAGACAGCAAGGGTCCTACCACATCAAGGCACAGAAAGGTACCAAGAACATTGACAAAATAGTCCATGTGACATCAGTGGTTCAACCCTAATTTTACGAAGCTACGAGAATACATTTTGTGTGCAAAAAAATCTAAAATAACAACTTTATTCAACAATTATTCTCTGCGTCACCCTAGCACCATTTTGGAGAATACAAAGAAGCTTTCCTCTGAACGTAAACAAGGAGCAGTGCATGCGTGTTTTTATCAGACTAATACACTAAAACATCTTTGTGTTTGTGATGTCCATTTTAACACTTTTCTCTTCCACTCACATCAAAGGGTTTATTTATTGCACATTATTGAATTATACATTGAAATTATACATTGAGCGCAGAGTCAGTAATTGTATTGCAGTGAGATATTTTCAAATAGTTTCAAAGAGTAAATATTTGTTCTTCAGGTGTGTTTGGTGTTGATGAAGTGAAGTCAGTGTCAGTGATGGAGGGAGATTCTGCCACTCTGAACATCAATGATACTGATATACAGAAAGAAGATCAGATAATGTGGAGATTTGGACATATTCTCATCGCTCATATCAACAGAAAAAACAATAAGAGCATGGTTTATGATGATAAAGCCGGTGGGAGATTCAGAGACAGACTGAAGCTGGACAATGAGACTGTATCTCTGAGCATCACAAACACCAGAACCACAGACTCAGGAGTTTATAACATAACCAGCAAAAGATCAGAGACACCGCTCAACATCTTCAATCTTACTGTCTATGGTGAGTAGAGGATTATTTACCCTGCTGACTCCATTTCATCTGCGAGTGTTGCTTCAATTATTAATTTTGGCTGTGGACTTTAAGAAAAATAAGCATCTTAAAAATGTTAAACTTGAAATAATATTGCTGACTGTGTAATACATCAAAGCACTATGTGCATAATTTGACAATAACAGCTCGACTGGAAATGAAGCATAATGAAAATATTCTGTGATATTTACATTAAAACTTCCATATTAATCTTGTAATTATTTTAAATTTTTTATGATCATGTAGTAAAAGAAATAAAAATATTTTATATAAAATTATATCTAAAATTTGAATGATATATAAAAATATATATAGTACAGAAATAATTTTCACACAATAGATTTTTGAAAACTAGTTTAAATCACCTTATAGTCTTAGACATGTTTATTAATACTTTTCTGATGGATTTTCATATTAGAAAACTGAAAGTCTCAGTTTGGGACAAGAGTAAAACTATAAATCAATACATAAAACTAATGTGGTTTCAACCCTGTCACACATCAACACACATGAATACGTTTCTTTTAATTTTAGAAATAAGTTTTATTAAAATTATGTAATAAATTATGTAATTTTTATGTAAGGTCCATCAACTAATTCAAAAGTAATTCAATAGTGATACTTCAATTCCATTTTAAATGGGAATTTGTTTGAGAGAGGGGTTGCCAACGTCATATGAGTGATGAACATAACTGTCTGCCACAATGAACTTCTCTAATATCTCTTTTAATATCTCTCTAATAGCTCATTTGCCTGTTCCTGTCATCAGCAGAGACTGTGCTTCATCATCATCATCATCATCATATTGTTCATTGCTGTGTTCAGTGGTGAATGTGAGTCATGTGACTCTCTCCTGGTACAAAGGAAACAGTTTAATGTCCAGCATCAATGAGTCTGATCTCAGCATCAGTCTCTCTCTACCTCTGGAGGTGGAATATCAGGATAATAACACCTACAGCTGTGTGCTCAACAATCCCATCAGCAACCAGACCACACATCTGGACATCAGCAGACTCTGTCAGACATATACAGGTTGGACAGTGGTGATATTAGCATTTTATCTCATAGTGCTAACATTTCATGTAGCATTTGTTGTGGATCAGGCTGACAGATTCATTCACACAAACGTCTCATTTTGTCTGTTACAGAACACGGCCTAACCATATTGTACACAGTGTTAATCTCTGCTGCTGGATTTCTGTTGATTGTTGCTGCAGTCATGATCTTCTGCACCTGCAGGAAACCTAAAAAAGTAAACCAAGAAGGCAAGTATGACCTAATGCTTATACGTCTGTAAAAAATAAATAAATAAATATTATTAACATTAGAATAACATGAAAGAGTGTTCTACAGAAAACGAAACAATAATTCTCAAATATGTTTTATTTAGAGTTTTGTTATTTTATCATGTCTGTCATTATTGTTGCAACAGATACAACATGTACAGAAGAGATCATTTACTCTGAAACAACATTCTACAAAAGAAATGCACATAAATCGGTAGGAGCATTTATTTTGGTGCAAGGCTTTTTCTTGTGATCTGTGGAGGAAATATTTATGCAGAGTACAAAGAAAGTTAAGGCATTCATTGAGTCAGCTGAACAGAAATTATAGTGACACTCCACATAAAAAAGCAGTGCACTAGTACTTCAGCCATATTTAAAACCAGTGGTGTAATGTAACGAAGTAATAATACTTCGTTACAGTACTTAAGTATTTTTTGGGAGTAGGCAAGAACATGGAGTGCAAGAAAGCAGGTTTGACAAATCAGTGGTCTGGCGTTTGCAAGTTAGACTCCTAACACCTTTGCTCACGTGCAAACAAGTGCACACACAACCGCGGATGATTCATTTCCCACTCAAGTCGAGTCAGGGGTGTGCGATAGCCTATAGGCTACATAGCTGCCATAATATGATAAGTGTTGTTGTAATGATGTGCGATCTGACATTATCAAGGCTATCACCAAATCACACACAGAGTGCATTCAAGTTGATGTATTAATTAAAACCCAAATTAAAAACTCAAAATTCCAGGCATTCTAAATTCTAGACGGCAAAATGCTTCTGTATGCTTTTTATATTTATATCATTTAATATGGTTAACTTAATCTATATCACACAAAGAGTACAGTTTTTCTGCAGATATAATCATGAACACATTTAATAATCATTTTATACAATTTCAGTAGGCCTAAAGCAATAAGTGACTTACATTTTAGACATAATGTTGCTTGTTTTTGCTCAATTTTGCCAACGCAAATAGTTCCAAACAAAGGTCACACAGCGCTGTTTTGCGTTTCTATGGACGGTGTTCACTTATTGAGTGAATCAACTTTTTGAACGAATCGGTTAAATAAATGATTCAGTGATGCACTCATTAACACAGTCAAATTCTTTGTTCCTGAATGAATCAGCCGTTTGAATGAATCGGTTGAATCTCAATGACTCACTTATTAACAGTCACTTGCTGTCACCTACTAGCGGTTTTAATTTCACATTTCGACTATTTTTTTCATGTTATAAAACATTTCCAATATCAGTATTCAACGTTTTGTTAAAAACAAAACATTAGGCCTATTTATGCATCTGTAACTGCAGTTTAAATGCATCCATGTCCCCTCTGAGATACATAAACTGTGTAAATACACCTAAATGCTATTTCAGATGCAGATTCCAAAAATGTTTTCTTATGTTGGAATAAAAGACACTAAGTACCGAATGAAGTGCTTCTTATTCTTAACCAAAAATACAAAAGGGAAGATTGAGTTAAAACTGAACAAAATCTTGCTACTCAAGCTGTGCATGAACATTTTTTATATATATTTATTTGCTTCTTTTCCATTTTGCATTTACTTGTACTTTTACTTTCAAGTACGGTTAAGATTTAAAAAATACTTTTCGTACTTAAGTACAATAAATATCACATACTTTAAGACTTTTACTCAAGTAATATTCTAAACGGTGACTTCAACTTCTACCAAAGTCATTTTCTGGTAAGATATCTGTACTTTTACTTGAGTATGGCTTCCAGGAACTTTATACACCACTGGTTAAAACACCATCGAGCAATGTTTTTGAGTGATGTGTGCAAACAACCAAATGCAGGTTTATTTTCACACTTGTTCTGCACCTGCTTAGCCAGCTTTTGGCACGTTGCTTCCTATGTGTGAATAATGCCATGGTTTATTTAAGATCATTTCCTTTCTCTTGTTCTTCTCTTACTCTGCTCACTCTCTTTTTGTGTCTTTGAGTCCTATGTTATATTATACCTATGTTATATCTTCTAATTTTGTGTTAAAATTTAGTTTAAGTAATTATCTGTTCAGTTTTTTTAAAGAGTGCTTTCGTTGCTTGATAAGCTAGTTTCAAAGTAGTTTCACCAACACTGCAGTGCATGCTGGGAACTGTAGTCCTGCTGCAGGCATCTCTATTAGGCTATTTAGGATCCTTTCTGAAACTGTATACAATAATAGTAATAATAATAGTAATAACCAATATTTCTTTCAGCATTAAGAGTACATATGAAGAGTTCAGATGCAAAAGCCTCTAAGTGCCGTTTGAAATGTTCTTCTAAAATGAGCATTTTTATCAGGCTCCTATATGTAGGTTCAGTAATTTCACTTTAATGGCAATGATTAGGCTCCTTTCTTTGCCATTAAAGTGAAATAACTGAACATAAACAAAGGAGCCTGAGAAAAATACAAATTTTATAAGAAAAGTTCAGACAGCACTTCATATTTAAAGTTATTTGCTGAAGGAATGATCGGTACATTATACTTTTCTCTTTTGCCATTCCTCATTTCGCACATCCAACAGTGCAACTGAGAATAAGGAGTGAAAATGTATCCCACAATGCAGTGTTTGACACTTCACGTCATAATATCAGTAACATAAAAATAGTTTTACCCCCAACATGTGGAGATACTATTATAAGCAATTTAATGAGATCAAATGTATTGATGTTATTCTCTACTGTAGTGCATTTTCATGGCAGAATTTAAAGGATGAAGGTAAATGATCTTGATAAATACATCAGTGATATGTTTTTTTGTTTATTTTTTTATTACAGAGAGATAAAGAGGATCCTGAGGTGGTGTATGCAGGAATCACTGTGAGATGCTGATCAGACTCTGATTCTGGAGGTGGAATACTGTATTAGTGTCCAAATGTTTTTATTTGAATATAAATGTATGCATATTTTTCATGTCACACACACACAGATCTTTGAATATTAGTTAGGATAGTGGATTTCATACTAACCCTTACGAAAAAGAAGTTTATTCAAGTGTGCTATTAGTATACTTTATGTAAACTAGTTGTGTACTCAAAGTTTACTACTGTTTTACTTAAAGTATACTTTTATATACTAGAAAGTGGTCCAATTTAGTCCCAAGGAGTACTGAAATAGTACACTTACAAGTATACTACTAGTACACTGATATTTGTATACTTATGACATAAAATATACTTAAAAATATACTTGAACTTTACTTAAGTATACTTAATAAAATAAACTTGAAGTATACTTCTTTTTGGTAAGGGAAGATAATTATATTTATCACAACTAACTCTCACACAAACTTCTTGACTTCATTCAGTTCAAAGCAAAACATGATTTGCGCACAAGCCATCTTATGCACACTTTTAATTCAAATTATGAAAGCAGAAGGGACCGTTCACACAGAACATCTTTGTGCATTCTACTGCGCCATTTTGCATATTCTTTCTATGTTAACCACTAATCTCTATAATGACTTGGTTGCTCATTGCATTCTCAACTACCATTAGGCAGTGAAGCCACTGGAAATGTTGGAGCGGCCATATTTCTATTCCCTACCGACAGAACGCATCTTTGACTGACAGCTAAAACCTTGACCTAATATCATCCGATTTGAAGTGTATCAGTCACACAGGATTAGTTCTTTGGATATGTAGATTATTTTTTACTATGTCCACAATCTGTAATGTTTATGGACCATTAACCCTTTTGTTTGTGTCTTTTTAGCAGCATCTGTGTATGAGTGTCAAATTTTTTGAATGAGCATAGTTTTTATACAGGTATATAATATATTAAACCACATTTAAACTCACGGAACTAAATATTTAAACATTACACACACATTTTACTTTTACTATTAATTTTAGTTTAAGTGTAATTAACCTGTCCGTGTCATTACTTTCTGAAGAAAATGGTGCACTCTTAAAAATAAAGGTGCTTCACGATGCCATAGAAGAACCTTTCTGTCTAAATGGTTCCATAAAGAACCTTTAACATCTGAAGAACCTTTCTGCTTCACAAAAGGTTCTTCGTGGCGAAAGAAGGTTCTTCAGATTATAAAAAAGGTAAGAAAGAGATGGTTCTTTAAAGAACCTTTGACTGAATGCTTCTTTGTGGAACCAAAAATGGTTCTTCTATGGCATCGCTTGAAGAACCTTTTGAAGCACCTTTATTTTTAAGAGGCTGGTGTTCTGGGAGGAACTGTGAACCTCAGACTGCCAACCGCATTTCCACTCACATATACAAAATGTCTTGGCTAATATTGAACACTTGGCAACCCTGACCTGCTGTTCTGATCTTGTGACTGATTAATTATCAATCATGTTTCAAATGCATGGTTTTGAGTTTTGTGTCATTTAAAGTTGAGTTTATGAATGTTAATGTGGCATTCAATCAAGTCAAAAAGTCAAACATTATGACATTAGTTAATCATATTAATTAATTTCTTATTCTCACTTATTCTTTGAAGCAGTTTTTGATTTATTTATGTTTGTATTGATTTAAAACAGATTCAATAATTTTGTCAGTCCTGCATATCTCTGATAATACAGGGGGATCTGTTAAAGCTCGGCCTGCTGGATGAACATGTATTTCACTAACAGCTCTCTCTTGCTATGACATTTTGTAGAATAAAATTCTTTAAAAGTTATATGCAAGATATATTTCATTTTTTTATTACTTTATGCGTCCTTTTGTACAATAATAAATAAAGATGCTCCATATATTCCTTACATTGTTCTGACTAATTTTGACCTTTAAAAAAATAGACTGTCATGGGTTGTTTGCAGGCAGGAAAAACTTGAAGGCGAGGAACCGGTGTCATAACAAATGTCAGTAGACGGGAACATTTTAAAACGAGTGGTTCATTCATGAATTCGTACAACTTAACCTTCACGCACACAGACAGATGATTTGAAAAACACTCAAGTGGTATAATCTTAGGGAAGTTTACATCTTAAAATTGTTCTTACATCTTTAACATTAATCTCATTGTGGCTGTAGGTGTTTCCATTGAAAACAATCTGTCGAACAGCTCAGGAAGATGTTGATCATGAGTGGGAAAAAAAATCACTTATAGTGTGAAATGAAGAAAAAAGCTGATAACAATCAAATAAATGTGTGAACTTTAGTCCCTTCAGTTTATATTCCACTCTGCTCTTGATTTGATCTTTATCGCTCATCATGACTATTTTAACACGTTGCATTCATGGCTGTTAAACCCCATCAGTTTTCTCAAATATATTGATCCATAGATGTTTGGTCTGATCAAGTATCTTCATTGTGTTCAGCTGTTAAAATCATTGGTTTAGTCTGTGTTTAGTCACCATAATCAAACTCCAGTCCAACTAAATTAGCCCCAACACAGTATAAGGAGACAAGCAAATTATGCAGTGTTGGGAGCTCCAGGAACATGGTTCGAAACCACTGAACTAAACCACCAACATCAGCTGCGTCAGTTGACTGACTTACCACATGAAAAGCTTTTCAGCAAGACAGATGAGTTCAAAACAACAATCTGAAAAATTGTACAGGTTTACAGTTGATCCAGAAACATGAAATCACGTTCACCGAAACGGAAGCTTTCAGGAGCCACAAGTGACAAAAAAAGGTGCAGATATTTTTTGTATGTAAATGTGTGAGAGAAAGAGATGAAGTGTTAACAGCTAACCTCCACCCGCACACTTTCCTCTCCTCTCTTACTTCTCTCCTGTTACAGAGAACAAGGTCTCCAAAGCTTTCTGTGCCAGCTGTCCGTCAACCTGTCCATAAGACCCTAACTCCCTCTCACTTACCACAGGCGATCTCACCAACATTGCTGCCCACCCTCATATTTTCAACACATTCCTCCCTAATGGGAACATTCCTAACACATTTAAGCAGCCTCTGGTATCCCCACTGTTCAAAATCTAACATTCAATCAGCAGTTATAAAACTAAAAACCAATCTCTCTTCTTCCTTTTCTGTCAAAAACTCTTGAAAGAGTTGTGTTCAATCAGCTCTCTGCTGATTTTTTTCTCTCCTAAAGCAACTTGACAACAACCAGTTTGGCTTCAAAAGCAGAGTAGTCCACCCTTCTGACAATAAAACACGCGAGTCCTCACTCTCCATTTATATCTTGGATGACCTGAGGGTGAGTAAATTAACAGAAAATTTTTGGGTGAACTATCCCTTTACGGAACTATTCTTTGTAAAGCAGAACGATTTGTATTGTAAATACAAACACAATAGAAGTGAAAAATGTATAGCTAAAATCTACACTGTATTTTTTCTATTAAAATGGGCATTTAGATTGAATAAAATGAATTCATAATCACTTAAATTACATTTATTCATAAATTATATTTACTCATTGATAAATACTCCAAGCAGTTCAAGAGCATTCCCACTCTCCTGAGTATCTGATTAATCTGATGGTGTTGTATTCTTTCTTCTCTTCTTTTGAAGGCTTCTGGATCTGATGTCATAAACCAGCACAGCAACAACAGCCACGCCCACCAGAGCAGAGAGAGCCAATCGGATCACAACTCCAATAACACCACAGCAGCAGATACAGACTTCTGAGAAAATAAATGAACAATGTTGAAACAGAAATATGATTAATTTAGTTTTGTGGAAAAAATATAGTATGATGCCATACCTGAACATGGCTGACAGAGTTGACTGATGTCCAGATGTTTGGTCTGGTTTCTGATGGGATTGTTGAGCACACAGCTGTAGGTGTTTTTATCCTGATATTCCACCTCCAGAGGTAGAGAGAGACTGATGCTGAGATCAGACACACTGATGCTGGACAATAAACTGTTTCCTTTGTACCAGGAGAGAGTCACATGACTCACATTCACCACTGAACACAGCAGTGAACAATTCTGGTGCAGGGTCAGAACAGAAAAGTCTCTGCTGATGACGGGAACAGGCAGACGAGCTTCAAAATATTGGAAAATAAATCAAATTCAATAGGAGACCTATGATATTTGTCAGTTCGTTGATATTTAAAACTGATGTAAAGTATTAAAGAAACAACATGATTATAAAATGTTGATTATTAAAATAATAAATTATAACAATGCTTGAAATGCATGAATGAATTTTTACAATTAATCTTCTATCATTTTACAATACAGTACAAAATCCTCTACTCACCATAGACAGTAAGATTGAAGATGTTGAGCGGTGTCTCTGATCTTTTGCTGGTTCTTATATATATATTGCATAAGAATGCATAAATTGATACACATATCATTTGTGCATCATCACAGAATCTTTTTATAATATTTTTTATAAATACTACAGTGATTATTAGATGTAATTCTCGACTCACCATAGACAGTGAGATTGAATGTGTTGAGTGGTGTCTCTGTTCTGGTGCTGGTGACTTTATAAAGTCCAGAGTCTGTGGTTCTGGTGTTTGTGATGCTCAGAGATCCAGTCTGATCCAGCTTCAGTCTGTCTCTCAATCTCTCATCAAGAAACTGTCTCTTATTGTCCTTTCTGTTGATTTTAGCTATGATACTGCTGTGTCCAAATCTCCACAATATCAGTTCATCTCCCATTATATCAGTATCATTGATGTTCAGAGTGACAGAATCTCCCTCCATCACTGACACTGACTTCACTTCATCAACACCAAACACAGCTGATCAAAAAAAAAAAAGTACTCTGATTTGCAGTTTTTAACCATTTTTAAAAGTTATCTAAAATTTTGCGATTGCAAAACAACTCTTCACTCTACACCAAAGCATTTGGGTATATTAGTTTGATAAAACATGAAAATATTATAAATGATGGAAATGATAAATAAGAGAATAATGTGCAGGAGAACAAATGATAATATAAACAGAACTGAAGCCATTAAAACACTTACCAGCCAGACTCCATAAGTAAAAACAGATGAAAATAAAAGTCTCAAACATATTTTTTTTCCCAGCAGTTCACCAAACAGTTTGCAACAGAACTGCTACAATGATCAGGTGCTGACACTCTTGAACACATCGAATGTGTTGTATTAAAGTGGTTCAGTGAGTGTGAATAAACCCCATCAGTAGCACCTCTCACACAGACAGACCTATTTCAGTAATAATTTATGTTTAAGAACAGTTTATACTGACTTTTCTAACATTTTAATAATTTCACAATGTTGCAATGTTTTTTCATTGTTAAAATGTATTTCTCAATTATATCATTTCTTCTAGATCTTGATTGATGCACTCCAGTGTCTGAAATTAACACGATAATATAAACAGAACTGAAGCCATTAAAACACTTACCAGCCAGACTCCATAAGTAAAAACAGATGAAAATAAAAGTCTCAAACATATTTTTTTTCCCAGCAGTTCACCAAACAGTTTGCAACAGAACTGCTACAATGATCAGGTGCTGACACTCTTGAACACATCGAATGTGTTGTATTAAAGTGGTTCAGTGAGTGTGAATAAACCCCATCAGTAGCACCTCTCACTCAGACAGACCTATTTCAGTAATAATTTATGTTTAAGAACAGTTTATACTGACTTTTCTAACATTTTAATCATTTCACAATGTTGCAATGTTTTTTCATTGTTAAAATGTATTTCTCAATTATATAATTTCTTCTGGATCTTGATTGATGCACTCCAGTGTCTGAAATTAACACTATATTATTACTATATTTCAATTTTTCCATTATTTCCAGCATGATTGTAAATGTGATAAAGCAATAAGCTACCAAAGGTGTATGTTTGTAGAGTAATGTACAACAGCTTCGAACTTGGCTCAACCAATCAGAATCAAGGACCGGAACTATCCAGTTTATAATAAGAATTTTATAACATTGATTTATATAGATTGTTTATCACTTCAATAAACAAGTTAATAGTAAGTTTTTGCTGAATAATTCTGAAAAAAAAAAAGCCACAGCAGAACCACACTATGCAAGGGCTGTAAGTTTTACATTTACATTTGAAAACACCAACCATCTTTCCAAGTTTATAAAGGGAATCGTTTAAAAAAATTGTTTTCAACAAAAGAGAATCTTTAATGTTTCCCTGCGTTTTCCACCACAAATAAAAGTTCTATAATTTAAATCTTGAAAGCATAAATAAATAAATAAATAAATAAATAAATAAATAAAGCTAACTCAATAAGAAAAAAAACTATATAAAAATAAAAAACATATTTCATAATAAATAGAAAAATGAAGACAGATTAAATATTAGTATTGCAATTTTACTGTTGTTATTACTGTTTTTATGAACCACATTCTAAATATAAAAGCTGAAATTTATATATTCCCTGATTGCTTCATGTTATTCCCTGAGAACCCACTGGATGATTGAGTTCAGCTCATGAATCTTTCCACTGGCCTTCACATTTGGAGGTTCATAGATGTTTTAATAATAGAAAATCCTAAAAGTATGTTTTTAGAAAGAGTTTACCTTCTATTGCCTTCTTTCTGTAGATCAAAGTCATATTCAGTCTCTGACGGGAGGAGCTTCTGGAGGAGTTTATTCACGCTCACTGCAGAGCTTCACTATACCACTTCACTACAAACTGACAGCTTTATTCACTTTGTTACAAAATATTGAACATTTTCAAGACCTGTGTCAGGACCTGATTATTATCACTGTTCTGTTGTGAATCTGTTTCGTGTTCGGCTTCTTTTCATCTGTTTGTGCTCATGGAGTCTGGCTGGTAAGTGTTGCTATTATTTTCATCAGTTATGTTGCCGCTATTGTTGTATCAGCAATTACAAAACGGTTTCCCATCCACTTTTACACTTTATCACACTGAAGTTGTTTACTGAAACTGTTAAAGACATACTAAATATAAATATACATATAAAATATATTTAAAATTGTAATAATCTATTATAGTGGATGTGGCATTATATTAAAAGCATGCACAGAAAATATTAATGGCATAAAATCCTACAATCGCCCCTGAATATACTCATATAACACCACCCTGCATCATATTTGCTAAATGAAGGCCTATTGTTTCTCACTATTTTTGAGCTATTTATTACAAATTAGTACAAAAGTTGCTCTAGTACATCATAATTTCTCGCAAATCATGATGCATTTCATGGCATTTCTGCTTTTGACAACCATTTGTTGAGTGAATGTATAATTCCTTAATCACCAAAAAACTGCCACAAAGACATGACATCAAATTTTCCTCTGAGCCAGGTATTAATGTATGTTTCAGATGTATGAATGATTCTAAAGGCTTTATTTTATGTCTAATCCTGATTTTAAGGTTAAAAGGCCAAATAACAGAAGAAAATACAAACATGAACCAGACGTCTTCGGCAACATCTGAGGGTGGTGCTTTACTGCATCCAAATAATAGTAGGAAAACATATTGTGAAAAACAGCTTATTTATTTATACATTTATATTGATGTGAAGTTCATTGATATTAAATGGAATTAACATATTTTTTCCACTTATTTGCAGACTGTAAGTTAAATGTGCATTCAATCTAATATGTACAGGTACATCTCAATAAATTAGAATGTTGTGGAAAAGTTCATTTATTTCAGTAATTCAACTCAAATTGTGAAACTCGTGTATTAAATAAATTCAATGCACACAGACTGAAGTCGTTTAAGTCTTTGGTTCTTTTAATTGTGATGATTTTGGCTCACATTTAACAAAAAGCCTTATGAGGATTGTCAAGCAAAATCGATTCAAGAATTTGAGTGAACTTCACAAGGAATGGACTGAGGCTGGGGTCAAGGCATCAAGAGCCACCACACACAGACGTGTCAAGGAATTTGGCTACAGTTGTCGTATTCCTCTTGTTAAGCCACTCCTGAACCACAGACAACGTCAGAGGCGTCTTACCTGGGCTAAGGAGAAGAAGAACTGGACTGTTGCCCAGTGGTCCAAAGTCCTCTTTTCAGATGAGAGCAAGTTTTGTATTTCATTTGGAAACCAAGGTCCTAGAGTCTGGAGGAAGGGTGGAGAAGCTCATAGCCCAAGTTGCTTGAAGTCCAGTGTTAAGTTTCCACAGTCTGTGATGATTTGGGGTGCAATGTCATCTGCTGGTGTTGGTCCATTGTGTTTTTTGAAAACCAACGTCACTGCACCCAATTATCAATAAATTTTGGAGCACTTCATGCTTCCTACTGCTGACCAGCTTTTCGAAGATGCTGATTTCATTTTCCAGCAGAATTTGGCACCTGCCCACACTGCCAAA